TAGTGAAATATTAATATTGCGAAAGTTTACATCAGAACGGCTTTACGAATGATTTACACAAAAATCCGTTCTGCTCATGTTTCATGAATGAGGCCCAATGAATTTAGAGGCACAAAGCATATATTTATTCACAAATAACCATGCTTTGGCTAGACTAACACTGATAAAACACTCCCATCTTTGAATGTATCTCCTGTACAGCACTGCCGCTACACAATGACCCATTTCTAGACAGAATTTTCTGATTGGCTAACTCCCAACCCAACCCATGCTGTCACAAAGACAGATGTGATGATTACTCAGCAAATCTATTTCAGTGATATCCGACAGCCGGCAGGCACATTTCATACCAGGTGTTCCAAAAAATGGTTACAACACTCTAAATGTCATAATTTAAAAAATCCTTCATTATTTCTCTTCTCTTTTCTTTTGATTTTGAGCTGAATATGACACATTCTCGGCAGGTGAACAAGCAAAGTCCAGTTTTCCGCGCTCCATCGTCATTAATGAGCGAACTCTGCAGAGGAGCGCTGTGTTCCGACTCCGAGTGCTCGTATTTTGGCGAATGAAAGCATCCGATTAGGCCGCTTCTCCCGCTGGTGGAGTGAGATTCACACTGGGCGTAGCTGAAGTGAGACGAGTGCTGTATGTCTCTGCCGCTCTCTTTCCACTCTCTCTGTGCCGCTCTGCGGTTTTACATGCATAATGGATGAAATGATACACAATCTGCTCAGCCTCCTCTATCATTTAAAGGCCATGAATAATGGACAGCAGCCCACCTGCCTGTTTGCACTGGAAATAAGTGAGAAACCAAGGATTGGGTCTGCTGAAGCGCTCATAGCATATTACTCCGTGGTGTGGATATTTGTTCTTATTTGCAAAGTGCCTTGGTCCACTGCGCATGTGTGTATTTACGAGCCATCTTTATTTTTCCTTTATTTGTTTTGATTCTAAACATTAACAGGTTGGATCATATAGTTACAGATACCATTTATTGCCTGATACCATTTATTGGTATTAAAAATAAATAAATAATACACAGGTGGTGTGTGTGTGTGTGCGCATGTGTGCGTGTGTGCACGCGTGTGCGTGTGTGTGTGTTTGTGTAGGTGTTGGCCTTTGCTGGCAGAGTGGGTGTAAGTGGAGAGGGGGCCATGCATGCGTGCGAGGTTAGACCAGCACACGGCTCTCTGTGGCCTGTTTTCATTCGCACTTCTCCCCCTCCAGGCTTTGGCCGTTGTTGTACAGCCACATGCTTCATGCAGCCAGACGGTGCCGTCTTCATAAGCCACACTTGAAAGCTCTGCCTTACTTTTGCATGTGGTTGCATGATATTTTGAAATAAAATATTGTGGTACGGCATAAGATGGTACGATTGTCAGATGGTGCAGGCTGCAATGTATGTGTGTATATATATATATATATATATATATATTAGGGCTGCACAATGAATCGAATTTCTAATCGCAATTACAATTTCAAAGGAATAATCAACAATTATGATTTTTGTCATAATCGTGCAGCCCTAGTGTGTATATAAATATATATATATATATATATATATATATACACACAGTTTCAAGCACAGTATTTACACACATTATAGTTTGAGATACAATGTTGAAGTGTCTGAGAGCGGCTTGGTTCATTTACTGTGAATCAAACCATTCAAAATGAACACACAGAGCCGAGGCTAGCATCTCTTTGTGAATGACACTACTTTTATTGTGTAACTGTGTGTGTGTGTGTGTGTGTGTGTGTGTTTAAAGCATGGTCTGTCTTTTCCCTGGGGCTCTGCTGCATTGTGCATTAGGTAGGCCGGTGATTTCAGGGAAAGGGCGGCTGGATTCACAGCTGACTGCACCGGCTTTGATCAGGACCAGATGTAAAGCAGGATCTCCTGGAGAGGCAGGCTTACTCATTAAGACAGACTGTGATTGGACTCCTCTTGAACCCGCAGCCACGCTTTCAACCCACCCACAGCATGTGGGATTTCATCAAAGCTTCCCATGTGGAAAAAGACACATCATCGGCATTTCATCATGTGTTTTTAGACTGTCCCTAAAGTCAGAAACATACCGGACACAAGTAAATGAATGCAAATCTTCATAGTTTAAACAATGTTGTCTATGGGCAAGTTTAAATTTCTGGTTGAATGTTGTCATGCTTGATGACAGTTTAGTGAGAAGTTTCTAGAAGTTAAAATCCCATGCTTTTTTGCATTGAAGTTTTTGTTACGATAACATATAAGAGACCGCTGCTATTATCTCAGGAGTTTTTAAAAGGTTAGTTCTCCCAAAAATAGAAGTTTTGTCATCATTTACTCATTTTTCCAAATTTGCAGCACTTTTTTCTTTCTAAGAAGATATTTTGAAGAATCTTGGTAACCAAACAGTTTTGTTAACTACTGACTTCCATTGTGTGGATAATAAAAACACTTTCTCATTTCTCAAAGTATCTGGATTATTTGCGTCTGCGCGGTGTGCATGGAAAACATGTCATGTCACTTTAATGAATAAGGGCCGACACATGCAATGTGTTTTTGCTTTAAAAACACGAGACGCCTAGAGACATGTTTTTTAAGTTTAACATTTTAATTTGAGTGATGCATTTTTTTTTTTTAAATGCTGTGTCATGTGCGAAACCGTAAAAGACGTGAGATGCTAGCGCAATGCTCAAACAGGTCTGTCTAGCACGTGTGTACATAGAAACAAAATGGAAATGTAGTGCAGTGGAATGGACAAGCATGTTCTGTGTGAACGGCCCCTGACGCCTCTCTATAAACAAAATACATAACATATAGTGGAGGACACAGTGAGCTATCTTTCAACGCAGAAGTAAGCTGTTTTCTGTGAATGTGTAAGGCTTTCGGTTCATTAGCCGCTATAGGGAAATAACAAGAATAATATCAAAGTGGAGTAAACGGTAAAACTGTTTGCGCTACAAACCAGTGTGTTTATAATTAAGACAATACATGCAAATAATATGGTAAAATAATAGCAGTTTGCAGTTTCAAGCAGAATAACGACAGTTATTTTTGTACAGCTAAAAATAACTGGAAGTGAATGACACCGGAAGCCAGACACATTAAATTTAAAATGGCCACGGCCGTTCTTACGTAAATTCGTAAATTCTTAGAATTTCTGTATTTGTTTTCATTGACTACAAATGGCACATTGTTTGGAGGATGACATTGGGCGGGACGTGAACATTTTTAATAGATTAATAGTAATTACTTTTGTATTAAAATGATTACATTTTAATCATTGATAATATTTGGATTTTGATCTGATAATTAAAGAAACAGATTAATCTATTATTAAAATAATCAGTAGTTGCAGCCCTTAGGCCTGTCGCAATAATATATCGACTTATCACGCAATATATGTACATGACCTCAATCATTTTTGGTGACGCAATATATCGCACATTATATTTACTTAAAATTAATGTCACCATGTTTTGTACATTTCCACTTGCGCCTGTGTCTTTTGCAGCTTCTTGTACATAAAGTAGATTAGTCATGAGGTGCTAGTTCAAATTTAAAAAATGCTTCTACAAAAAATGTTTCATCTGCAGATATGATCTTGTTTAGGGATCTGTGCCTTTGTGCATACGGACATCTGACTGCTAAGTAGTGATTGTGTTTTTCAGCAATAGTGTGCACTCTTCATTTACAGGGAAAAATCCGTAGATGGAAAAATCTCCATACAAGTTATTTGTGCATTTTTCTTTTTTTGTACTTGTTACTTTGCACTTTTTGTTAGAAAATGTTTATTTACTATTTATTCAAGTTTTTTAAGCTATCTAATAGTTTGATACTTAATTTCCATGATCTAAATATTCTTAAAAATGTAAAGTTTGTTGTCATTTGGAAGTGTGTTGGCCTTCTTGCATTATTATGCTGTTACATTATGATTATATATTCAGTAATATAATGTAATATAAAGACCATAAAATGGTCTTTAAAATGACAATAATATCGCTTATCGCAATTATTTCTGGGGCAATATATCGCACAACAAAAAGTTGTTATCGTGACAGGCCTAGCAGCCCTACTATAAATGGTGACTGTACCAAAAACTATATTAGTGTCCACGGCAATAAATAATAATGTTCTGTTTTTTTTTATAAGTGCGTGCTGCAGTTTTGTCAAATGTCATTTTAAATGCTTAAGAGGATTCTGAGTGGCTGTCACTTCCGTTCATTAGCTGGAAAAAAATCATCTGATTCTTGTTTGTTCATTATTGTTACAGTTGTGGTGTGGTGGACTTCACTATTCCCATAGAATTAGAACAAGTGTAGTCCGATTCCCGAACGAATGATTCTTATTAACTGGTTCTTTTTAGATAATCAAAACCACATTTAAAATAATAGCTTACTAAATAATAACACACACAAGATTTAAAGCACAGGAATTTGAAGGTAGCTCTCTCGCCCCCTTGAGTACTGGAGTCAAGAACATTATACTCGTGTTCAGCTGACCATGTATTCACAATGTTTCTGCCTTGTATTCTGTATGTTTCTGATTGAAAGTCTGCCTCATTTTCTCGTATATTATTAAAAATGTGCCTGTTCTGTCCTCTGTGCTGCTTATTAGGTCTGCGGATATATTGGAGGGCAAGGGCTGAAATTGCCCCTGCTCTCAGCTCACAGTTTGATCTCAGAGGGTGTTTATAATGTGCCACAGTGTTATTAAATGCACCCTGATTTGGCTGCGAGATACGGCAGTGGCCATTCATTTGCAAAAGCGCTGCAGCCTCTTAGGAATCATGGGCCTTCAAAAGATGCCACTGTAGTTTAATATTCATTGCTGCAAGGGACCAGATAGCATCTTGGTTTGTGTGTGTATTCTGATATGAATGCAAAGAGGTTGCTCCTAAACATTCGCCTCCTTACTCATGAATAATTTGATCAGTCTTGTCACCCCTGAAAATTGAGCTTGATTGCTATGAATGACTCCACCCAAACTCACTTTCTCTTTCTCTCTCTTTTTATAGGGATTTCCTTCCCCGAGGCTCAGGCATCGTCACCCGCAGGCCTCTCATTCTGCAGCTAGTTAACAACAAAGCTGGTGAGTGTGTTGATGATCACAGCACAACTGAACAAAGCCTTCTCAGGTATTTGTAGTATGTGTGCGGATGGTTGAAACCACATGCTTTCATGCATATTCATACACGGTGTCAAAAAATGTGTCACATCAAATGACACATCAAGGGCCCTATTGTTATTTATTTATTTTGTTTAGTTTTTTAAATACATTTTAATTATCAAGGATGTCTAATCAGTTGAATTCATAAAACTTTACTAATTTAATAATTTATTGCAATTTTAACAATAATAGCCATATGAAATGATTTGTTGTCTGTTTTTTGTTTTTTTTGCAGGCAGTGTTTTATGATTTCAGTATGACTTTATAATCAAATATGGTGGTGATCAAATTAATGCATAAAACTTTTAACAATTTAATTAATCTTATAAAATGTAATCAAATGAAATTTGAACAATTCCTTTCATTTTTTTGATGGAGTAAGTGCTACACAATAGAGGTTTGTTGTTCAAATAAAAAAAAAAAATGGATGAAAAAGTCAATTTTTGCAGAATATGCAGACTTCATATTTAAATAAGAGTCTTTTTGATTTATTAATTCAAATTTTGTCAAATTCTGTGTTATAAAGTAAATAAATTGTAGTTTTATGACTGGTTCCTGCGGTTCATCCACATTTTCGGCATCACAGAAATGAGTCCAGTTTGAGAACAAAATGTTACTTATTTATTGCAATTCATGTTACTAGTGTCACAAAAATAACACTTCAGCTGTATTAACATCACTTTATTCAGTTTTCGTACATAAAGCAGGTTCCCTTCTGAAAATGCCCCTTCTAACATTTACATCTCTCAGCCACTTTAAAAGCAGTTATCATTTCTATTGTTTTCAGCATGAGGTACTGTAATGTAGCGAGAACAAGGAAGTGCAGATGGGGAATTAATTCAGACAAAAAGACATTACACAGAACAGATTATCTTCCAAATGAGTGCAATTGACCATAAAGTTGAACAAAACAAAGCTGAACTGATGTTGTCTGTCTGCTTGTATATGCACAATACAGTGTTTCCCCTGATATTCTATTAGGGGGGCGGCCTGCCCCCTTGAAGGTCAAGTTAATTTTATTTAATTTTATTTTCTCTATAGCGCCAGATCACAACAGAAGTCATTTAAAGTTACCTTTCCTATAAAACATGTCTATACCTTGTTCCTTTATTAAACAAACTAAATAACCTCATGTTATTTATCTTATTTACACGATGGCATGTAATTTCTGTCTCTACATTACTCTGTATCGCGCACAGCAGAGTTCCGCCCCGATGCGCGCGCGCACACAAGTGAGCACACTCCCACTCCCACTAGTATTTGTAAATATTAAGCCGCAAAACGACTATTTAAATATGAATTCTTCGTGTCTCTGTGTTAATGAATGGCGCAGACGCGCGGTTTTGTTTACTAACAGTTACTTGTACTGAAGCGTGCGTGAAGCTTGCGGTAGTCTACCGTCTCACTAAATGAGGACATGTAAACACACAGAAATGTAAAGGTATTCACGGCAACCCGTCAAAATAAAAGTTCGGTTTAACTTGAAGACATTGCAGCAGAAATATATTAGCCTACTATTGTTCAGTAGAATGTACGTAATAGGCTACTACTAGACTTGTGCCGGTATTCGGTAATGCGATATATCACGGTAATGAATATGCA